GAAATTTTGATTGACTTACCATGGTTTAATGCAGTATGGAAGTGGAAAACGTCCCGATGACCCAGGCCCGTCCCAGCCACCCAACCGAGGCCTGTGTTGGATGAAGTCTTGTCGAGGAGGTCGATGTGAAAGTAGCTGACTGGAGGATGTCGATGTGTGGACGGTTGCTGTCAAGGGAATTTCTGTGTAGAATATTGCTGTGCACAAAAATTGTGGAGGAGGTTGCTATCACCGAAGATGCTGTCGTAGATAGTCGTTCTCGAAGATTGTGAAAGCTAGTTGTATGTCCCAGGCCCATCCCAACCACCCAGCCAAGGCCTCTGCCATGAGATGATTCACATCAGCGCAGCTTGCTAAAAGAGTCGTATTCAAGCAGCTGTTGTCGAGTGGTGTTTGTCGAGGTTATCAAGAAGGTAGTTGTCCTCGACGTAGCCGCTGATGCGCAGATTCTATCGTGTGAAGACCAGTCCCAACTGCTCATCCTCGGCTAGTGTCGCAGCGCAAAGAGAACGTCGCCAATATCATTTATCATGAAATGTTAGTTGAACTTATTTGCATCAAGAAGATAGACGCCCTTAGCACACTTACTTCATGGGGTACTAGATGGTCGTTGTCCCAGGCCCGTCCCAGCCACCCAACCGAGGCCTGTAGATCTCGTTGTCTTGTCGAGGTCGTCGTCAGTGCTGGTGGCGCGAGGTCGTTGCTGTGAGGTCGGTGTCGTGAGGTCGGTGTCGTGAGGTCGGTGTCGTGAGGTCGGTGTCGTGAGGTCGGTGTCGTGAGGTCGGTGTCGTGAGGTCGGTGTCGTGAGGTCGGTGTCGCAAGGCTGTCGTTGATGTCGTCGTCGAGGACCCAGGCCCGTCCCTGCCACCCAACCGAGGCCTTCGAATTCGTTGCCGTGTTGTTGTCGTCCTCATCGAGGTCGTCGTAGTCGTCATCGTCGTTGTAGTCGTCGTCGATCTCGATGTCGTGATGTCAGTGTCGTTTTCATCGTCGAGGTCATCGTCGAGTTCATCGATGCCGTGAGGTCGATATCGTCGAGGGCGTCGTCGTCAAGTATATCGTGTTGTTGATCACCCCTACCACTATCCCAGGTCTGTCGTGGAAACAGCTGCTGCTCCGAAGTTGTCGTTTGAGCAGATGAATCTGGGATCCTTGCACCCAGACCCCATTCCATCATCCAATCACCCAACTTCTCCGAGAGAAACACGCACATCCCCTTCAGACCCGTTCCCCGAAGCAATCAGTCAGCCCGTATATATATGTACGTACATAAACAGAAGAAGCAAATAAACCGTGGGAGAAAAGCGTGTATAAACAAGAAACGAGAAAAGAAAACTATGTATCCTGTTCATCAACGGATGTCAGTCATTATCCACTAGACCGAGGCTGTTTCACTTACCTGTTCTCGAAGTGACAGCAGCGTCTACACCAGGAAACCTGGTGTGTAGACCTCGTGCGAGGCCACAAAAAAGTTGCTTTATTTGTCACTTCTTGAATCCTTAAACAGAAGTTAGTCAGTAGCGTATGCTAATCCCTTGCCAGAGGGAATCACTCACTATCCTTCTATAAAAGAAAGAAGCGGAAAGGAAAGCAAGGAAAGATAAAGGAATAAAAATAAAGGAACAAGATGAAAAAAGGAAAAGCAGGATTAGTATAAAACATAGACAGTGAACCCACCGTCTATGTCCCAGGCCCATCCCAGCCACCCGCCGAGCCTAGGAAAAACAATAGGGGAAGTACGCCTGTATCGATCAGCCAAATGAGCCATGTCAATATGCAAACATTGGAAAGGTACTGACACCTTGACCCACGGGCACAGGATAGCATCGAGCTAACCTGATTCCATGAGTGAAAAAAAAATATCCCAGGCCCGTCCCGACCACCCAACCGGGGCCTTTTACAATATACACACTACTGCATGACAAGTTAGCGAGGTTCAGTCAGGATAGTGAGCACTTACCAAGGGAGTGCAAAGCTACAGCTACATAACCCAGGCCCGTCCCGTCCGCCCGCCATGGCCTGAGGTTGTCGCGTATGGGCTTTGTCGTGTCTCCGGCCCCAACCACCAACCATGGCCACGAGACAACTACGAAGTGGCGCATATGGGCTTTGTCGTATATCCCAGCCCATTCCCAACCACCCGGCCAAGGCTGTTCAGAAGCTACTGTATAGCAAAGTTAGCTCAGCATAGCCAGAAAGGAGATCAGCACTCACCGAGTCGACACAGAGCTACGCTACAGTGTCTTTGACCCAGGCCCGTCCCAACCACCCAACCGAGGCCCGTCTACGCTACTATAGACCACAGTTAGCTCAGCTTGATTCAAAGAGTGTCATGGTCACTCACCGAAGGGACACAGAGCTACGCTACAGTGTCCCGCCCTAGCCCTCCCAGCCACCCAACCGAGGCCAAGGCAACTACTATAAAGTGAAGTTAGCTCAACTCAATGAAGAGGATACAAACATCACTCACCGAATGGGCACAGAGCTACGCTACAGTGTCCAATACCCAGGCCCGTCCCATCCGCCCAACCAAGGCCCAGTCTACAACTACTATCAAGAAGAGTTAGCACAGTTTCATAACTGGACAGAAGAGTCACTCACCGAATGGACACCAGAGCTATGCTACAGCGTCCAGCTCCAGGCCGCCCACCCAGCCCGCCCATGGCCTGGTCAAACTACATCGATGAACCTCCATTAGTAAGTTTCTTGTTGCTATGGTGGGGTCACTCATCTGTTTGATCATGAAACTTGAACATCATCGACATCAGACCCTAAACGCGTGTCCGATGTCCCAGGCCCGTCCCGTCCACCCGTCCAAGGACCTGTGCAAGCAAATTGTGTCTGCAGACCTTTGTCAGTCAACTGCTAGTAGTTACTAACAACCATAGAAGACTTACCAGTTTCTTTCGAAACTGCACTTAACAACACCAGACACTCGCGTGTCCGATGTCCCAGGCCCGTCCCGTCCACCCAGCCAAGGCCTGTGTAAGCAAGATGTGTCTGCATAAAGAATGCTGTTAGCCAAGTGCACAATCTTGAGAGGAAGGACTTACCAGTCTCTTTCGAAACTGCACAAACACCAGACACTCGCGTGTCCGATGTCCCAGGCCCGTCCCAGCCACCCAACCGGGGCCCAGGAAAGAAAATTAAATCCAACAGATCAGACAAGATAGCAAAGATCAAAGAAGATAGCAGAAAAGATAGAACGTCTAACTCCCAAAAATCCACAAAATGAGACGAATGAGACAAATGAGACAAATGGAATCGATAGAAAAGATAGGAAAGCAGATCAAGGAAATCAAAGAAACCAAAGAAACAAGAAAAATAAAATATACAGCATATACAAGAAGTGAAGAAGGAAATGAAGAAAGAAAAGAGGAAAATGCAGAAAAAGCAGGAAACAGATCAAACACAGAGAACAAGTAGACAAAATGAGATAAGACAGAAGACAAATGAAACAACCAAAAGAGATAAAACAGATAGAATATATAGAACAGATAAAAAAGAAGACAAGAAGATGCACAGATGAAACCATACACAAGGATATGGACGAAATAAGAAAAGAAGCAACAAGAAAAAGGAGGAAAGATAATAAGGAAAGAAACAACGAAATAAGATATATGAGATAGATTAAAGTAGAAAACAGAAGATACAACAAATGAAACCACATACAAGGAGACACGGAAGATAGGAAAGACAGAAGATGCACAAAATGAAGAAGATAGTAAGAAAAAGAGACATATGAAACGACCAAAGAAATAAGAAATAACCAAAGAGATGAGACATATGAGACAAGAAAAGATAGGAAAGACAAGATACAAAAAATGAAACCTACATACAAGAAGATAGGAAAGAAGAGAAAGACACCAACCAATGAAAACTACCTGGACTCGATATGCACAAGATGGTGAGAAGATACAGGAACTGTTAGGAGATGAGAGATGTGTAGGAGAGAAAGATTTCTCGAGCCTCGAGCGAGGAATCGCGCTGGTTTTGCTCCGATGCCAAGACTTGACGTCGTCGCGAACGCTGTCAGGATGTGTGCCTGAGAAGACCCAGGAAGCTGGAGGAAGTAGAGTATGACGTGAAAGTTTCTCGCTGGATGGCCAGCTGCTATGGTAGGGCGTCGAGGGAGGGTGGAGGGGGGGGAGGAAGCAGACAAGAGAGTTTGGGTCTTCGGCTTCGAGATGGAGCCATCTGGTGTTACTCCTGCGAAGATTTCACAAAGCTTGTTCAGTGAGAGGTCTAAGCGGATGCAAGCCGGCCGAGGGAGCGGGGAATGGGCAATGAGATGCCAACGACGCCATCTGTCGACTGCGGTGGGAGTTCGACTGTGAATAGTACCTGCAAGTTTGGCTCACACTAAAGTTAGCAACATGGCAGAGAGTCGAGTGCAGCAAGCTTACCTCTGTCCAGAGAGAACCATACGTCTTCCTCCCTCCCTTTCCCTCTCTCTCTCTTTCTCCTCCCCCTCTTTCTCTCTCTTCTCTTCGTCCTCTCAGAGAACCAAATCGATCGACGCAGGGGCAGGCAGTTCAGAGTCAGGAGACCAAGTGAATCAGGAACAGCAGCACATGGAACCACGGGCTGCCACCCGCAGCTTCTCTACCAGGAATGTGGGGGATAAGCTTTTGCCCTGACAGAAATTCTATTCGGCCGTCAAGCGTTTCTCCCGGAATTATTCTCCTGTGCAAACCCAGTCCATCAATCAGGGGGGAGTAGGTGAATGCTGTCCTGCTGACAGGACCCCTTGATTGCCAACCATGGAAACTCGAAACTCATCCGCCAGCCCATGTAAAAATAGTACACTTTCAAAGTCGCGGGAGTGGCTTGCAAGTCAACGAAGCTTGAGCAAAAGCTTAATTGCTGGATTCTAGGACTGCTACATACGAATACAAAGAAAAGCTTGGGCTGCATGCCCCCCACCCAGACTCGAGTACTATACAGTGTGGTAGAGTACAGTACGTCCAGTATGCAACCTCGTCAAATCAGAATGGAGACTACTTTCTCAGCAACCAACAACCCCCCAGCCCAACCATAGCCAACAGGATGCCGGCCCACCGCATCAGCCCCCTGCGGATGTAGTACTCGGCGATGCGATCCACCGCCTGGGCGTCGTTGATTCGGGGGAAGGGAACATCGGGCACCTCCTTGCCCAGCGCGCGGCAGAGGGGCTCCCAGCCCTCGCGGACATCGTACAACACGAGGCGATCGGGCGGCACGACCTCGCGCAGCCACTGCAGGTGCAGCTGATAGATCCAGGCGACGTCCCGCGAGCGATAGATCCGGTCCCACTGCGCCTGCAGCAGCCAGTTGTAGCCCATGAAGTGCCGCATCCCCGGGAGCGGGAGCAGCACGGCGCCCAGGAACCACAGGCGCACGATCGAGCTGACTTGCTGGATGCTCCGCACCCACGCGTCCGGGTCGCGGACCGTACAGATGACTTTGCTGTCCGGGTAGAGCTCGAGGAGTTCGGGGACGAGCTGCGACGCGGGCGCATCGGTGATGGCGGCGTAGCCCGCGGTGCGGGTCTGGAGGAGGGCAAGCGTGGTGGCGTGGTCGCCCGACAGCCATTTCTGGAGGATCTGCTTCCACGAGATGATCTCCGTGGGCGGGCCCATCAGCGTCTGGGTACCACCGTGGTAGATGGGACCGCCCAGAAGGATCTCCAGGGCGGCGCTGAAGGAGGCGGTTCCCGTGCGCGAGAGTCCGGCGCCGATGACTTGGATGTGTGTCCCCGGTTGGGGAGCGGACGCTTGCTGGCCCATCGTGTACGTAGGTCGTAGAGGATATTGGAAGCTGGAGGTTTAAAGCAGGGCTGGCCCGGAAGAGTTTGAGGGGTGAGAACAATAATGGAAGGATGATGAGAGGTTGCAAAGGCATTTCAGCGGCAGTAACCATTGAGGGTAACACAAGTTACTTTCTTCTTGCTGCTTGCCGGGGTCGCGTTAAGCGCCGACCTTCCACCGATTTCGAACCAGGAATCGAATTATTACCCCTGTACAGCCTGCAGAGTAATAGGTACCAGGTGCAGGCAGGAACCAACTTCCAGTCCAACCACAACCGCTGCCTGCCTCCGAGCACCTTGACCGGAGGCTTTCCTTCGGCCGCGCAAGCAAAGTTCTCGAGCTAGGGAGAGCTATAATTAGGATACAGGAAATTCTCCCTGTTTGCTTTCCTTGTAAATACGGTAGAGCAAGATCTAGAAATAGTCGTCCAAGTGATCTTCTACTGCCAAGGAGCCGGATGCATCGACCCTATGGCGAAAAATGACTGAGGGATGACATCGCTTGTTGCTCGCGCCTCGAAGACGTTGTACACCACCGAGGAGAATGTGTCGGTAGAGTTAGGCAGGGAGAGAGATATTCATGATGTAGATGTCATAATTCCACTAGAAATGTTCTTCGGGGGGTAGAATCAGTACCTATCTAGATGAAGAGGCAAAAGACCAGAATATACCCCAGTGGACCAGCTACGAAGACGGCAACATGTACGGTTACAAAGGGACTACGTGTGGCGCTCAGAGTCGGTCGATCAGTTCAACCACCAGCAGAAATCCTTGAGCATATTCACAACCATAAGCCAGATGAGTTTGAGAGTCATGATACTCTAAGCCGAGCATGCTGCTAGCACGCAGCAAGAACTAGCACTCGATTACAAGTACGCAAATAGACAAGATCAGCGTTAGAGAGCCTGGGCCTTGCATGACGATGTAGTCTCATCCTTCTTCGAAACCTATCCAGTGATGCAGAAATCAATATATCTGAGGGATAAATCAAGGGGAGAAGATCAAATCAGACGTATTCTGTGTACACTCCTACTAGTTACAGACGGAGCAGCTACAGCTATCATGAATCACAAATACTTGCCTAGTCCTGACACCTACGTAACTACTCATCAAGCCTCACCAACCGTTCTGTAGCCCCATTCTTCCCCGAGTACAGGATTCGAGCAAATAATGACCCGTCCTTTTTGTTAAAGAAACCCACCACCCCGTCCACACCGAGTGGACAACTCTCTCTCAGCGTTCTCAGCTCAGTCTTCATCCCTTGAAGCACCACTTGAGCCATCTGCTTCGAGTTGAAGAAGCCGCCACAATGCGGCCACGACAGTAGACTATCAATAGCCCACAAGCGGATCTCGTAGTCGGGACACTGAGCCAAGAAGAAAAAGACGGGGATAATACCAACTCCGAGGCTGATTAGCGGGCGGTCCCGGATCTGGTCCAATGTCGTTTTCAGCATTCGGTGCAGGTTCACGAAATCCTCCATGAGGGAATGCAAGGAGAGATCATTGCTAAGCAAGAGGCTGCTCTTGACACCCACGATCTGTCCATGCGTGATGACTCTCAGCAGCTGCACACCCCGCTCCTCCTTTGTATTGAGGCGGGTGAATGGCTGCGCCACAAACGCTTCGAGCTGCTGCAGGAACCGATTTAAGCATGAAAGGATGCGGGTTGGGGAGAGCAAGCTAGCTTGGTAGGACTCTGCGGCCGGGATCCTTTGTCTTTGCTTCCAGAATATTACGTGAAAGCCGCAGCTAGCGTTAAATACGGGTCCGAATGCGCGCTGGGCCTCGTGGAAGGTGGTGAAGGTAGATAGATGGTCCTCATACGGCCTCTCATGGATTATCTCGTGATCGGTCGTCAGGATTGGCCCACCCATCATGAAAAAGGACTGACTCTGAAGATGCAGATACGTCTCCAGAGTGGTCTGCTGTTCCCACGGCGAGTGCGCGCCTCTTTGTGCTCTGAGTTCTCTGAGAATCCTCAGCCCACCTGCTAGATGCACACTCGCGGTTTCTGGGCGTGCACAGAGCAGTTCAGTCACGGTGAAAAGTAAGCAGCAGATGAGGACCACCTGTCGCAGGGCCGGATCCTGCGAAGCACGGCGCTGGGTGAGCATAGAGAAGGATCTGAGGGACTGTTCCGCTGCGAAACGTTCTAAAGTGCTATCAGACTTCTTTCCAGGCCTGGGCAAGCCATGCTTCTCCAGATTCTGATGGATTGAGCCCAGAGCCACGATCGCATGGTACACGGCCGGCTCATTGTAACTCATCTGGAGTACGAGTTTCTCCCATAGAGGGTTATCCACCGAGGCAATCAGATTAGAGACCGAACAATGTTGAAAGTACGAGAAACAGCGCATCTCATCTGTGGTGGTTGTGAAGCGAAAGCCGGTTGGTACCGGGGCGGGAATTCTAGAGACAGTTGCTGTCTTTCTACGCGGGGGTAGAGGCAGTCGTTGCACCTCGTATCCATCGCAGACTCGGCCTGTGGAGGTACAGCGCTGGCATGATCCGGGCGTTTCATCGCATTTGATCCGCCGCGCTCTGTTGACAATGCGTCAGCCGAGTGACAGCGGATAGTCAAATCACTTCCTGCATGTACTGCACAGTGCCTCGGTGTGCATCACTTACCGACAGGTGCGACATCCGGTACGGGATCTTGGTTTAGAAGCACGCCGCCGAACAGGATTCTTATGAGAAGAAGTAATTGAGTCCTCTAAGGGGCCCGAGTCCATTGTAGTAGGTGGGTGGTGCTTTTGAAGTTGTTGTTAAATTAATCGCGACCCGCACTAAATTAGCAGCGGCGGCTGGACGGGCCGGGAACAACGAACGAACAACGAACTGGACGGAGTCAGTCTCCCTCTTTCTGTTTGGCTGCCTGGCAGGGGGAGACAATCTGACATCTCCCCTACTCCGCTGTGGAGCCTGTCGGTCTCCTCCATCTTATTCCAAGTTCCATGATTCCCTCCCGTCTTCCTTGCGGCCCCATGCCAAGGAAATTGGCATCTTGGTTCCTGTGGTGGGTATCTGGGTCCTAGATTATCCTTGAAACTATGATGCTATGATTGCTGATCCGAATCCACTGTCATAGGCAGCGAGTCCCCCCTAACCCAGATACGCGAAATTCGCTAGTTCCTGTATTTTTCCCCTTAGGCACATCATCCTCGCCTAACCACTGATACCAATGCCTACCTACCCAAAGACAGACTCGATCAAGTAGCGACTCGGATTGGGCCAAAGCAAACAAACGCCGATTCTACCCTACCAGTCAAGGAAGAACCCATCCACCACTGCAGTCAATGAAAATACCTTACGAAGGGCTCCTAAGAACTGAAAATCACTGGCCAAAAGCAACCAATCTACAGTACATGTACATGCCCTCACCGCCCTTCTCTCCATGAGCCCTGAACGAAGAACTGTCGAGAGAGGGACACCGACCCTGACTAGCTTAAAATCGCACGGCTACAGCGAGATGTCAGCGGCTCGACATCAGCTTGATAATGAAGAGACGGAGAAGGGTAGGCTGTGAACTGATCAATGAGTGGAGCAACGGTGGCATACTATACTCACAACTCCTCGGACTTGGTCAGGAAAATGGATAAGGCCTTCTTTAACAACAAAAAACTTGCATTTTATTCGATACCAACGGCTCATTAGCCTGATGCCTTGCTCCGCTGAACTAGCCCTTGATCTCTGCGTAAAGACCATTGCACCCAAGAGCTATTGCTCCATCACATCACGAGCTCCGCTCTCCACAAGAGTGTAGATGACCCCTGGCCGGGAAAGTGGGCATCAGCCTTCAGCTAGCTGGTTGTTCCAACCATGAGATCACCAGGTACACACATTCCGCACGTTTAAAGATCCAAGTTCAATTGGGGCTGAACTAACGCGTACTCGAGGAAGCAATCCCCAGAATGAAATGTCCCCATGAACATCCCACCTGATAAAATGCCACGGAAAACACACAGCTCTGGGGATTCTTGCATCCGTCCAGTGATGCGCATACTGCGATATTGCAATGATATCAAGTCTGATGATCTGAGTCATGAGAGGCTAGGCTCCATAGTGCTGATTGGATTGGGTATGCGCATCGCCAAGCCACGTGCCTGTACAATGTCCAAGAGCCAATCACCACAGACCCAATCTCTGCTGGGATTGCCTCGACCGAATGAAGTCTATCAGATTGACCATAGACAACTTCAATAAAGTCAATGTGACGAGTCTACTAGAAAATGGGCCGATGCGGAAACAAAGCAATCGCTGAGTGGTTCTTGCTTTCAGACAGACTCACCCTCCGACATGTACCATTTGTTTGTAACTTCCACCACAACGATACCAAACAATGAGGGATCGAATCAGACCCCAGGAGCATGGGATCTGAGAGAGATGTAGATGGCCTCATCCCAGCACCAGTCCTCTCACCACTATCTTCACCTTCTTGGCGGCGCGGTTTGAGTATCAGAATCTGGTCTTGAGGTTAAATCCCATCGAAGAGGCTATCCTTGTGACCTGTCAATTGAGGGCCGCATCCGGACAGACGATCAATCCGGAGCCAATATAGCGGAGTGCTTGAGAATGGACGGCCGAGAAATGCTCATCCAATAAGCCCAATTGACTACCGGTATATAGCTGACGGGGCGTCCTCGATGCCCCCTGGTTCCAATTTCTGCTAATGGAACAAACGGGAAGCCTGACATCGGAGAATCATTAGCATTTCCAAGCCAGAATGTATTTGTCTCTATCGTTACTTGCCTTTCTTTGCCCTTTGGTTCTCGCCGCATCACCAGAATATTGTCCGCTTCTGGGACCCATCTTCCCGGCCCCGAGAGCACTCTCGACAAGCAGCGCATTCCTCGCCGCGAAGAACAACATTTCCTCGGCTCTCGAGGCAGCCATAGCAGGAACATCCCCTCTCAATGACGTCTTTGACCCGAACACCACATCGTTTGCCATCCAAGTCTTTTCGACGGATGACGCGGAACCCCTTTTCGAATCCTACTATACCGCTCCAAATGTCAACACTTCCGTAGGGGCTAGTGTAGTGAATGAGAATACTGTGTTCCGCATCGGTAGTGGCTCAAAACTATGGACAATCTTGTTGCTACTCATCGAACGGGGGGTTACTGTGTTTCGCGATCCGGTGGCGAAGTATGTCCCGGAGATCCGAAAATTGAGCACCAAGCCACCTGGGAATGAGATCGACTCAGTGCGCTGGAAGGAAATGACAATCGGGCAGCTGGCAAGTCACCTAGCGGGGATACCGCGAGACTGTGAGTGGCCTGTATCTGCACAGAACTATCGCTGTCTTGCACACTCATATATGCACAGACGGATTCGTTGATCTAGCCACCTTGCTGCCTGCCCTGAGTGCAATCGGCCTTCCTGAACTTTCAGCAGCCAAGACTCCCCCATGCGGTGCGCCAGGCAGGCCTTGTGATCGAAAGCGTGAGCCTTCCATCTATTCCAAATGGAAAATGCTGATCATTCTAGGATTTTTCGACGGCTTCTTGAAGAGACATCCCGTCGTTCCGACTGCGTCCACACCTGTCTACTCAAATGCAGCGTCCAGATCCTGGGATACGCACTGGAAGCGATGACCGGCCAAAGCTACCAGACGCTCTTATCTCGGGATCTCATCCGCCCACTCAACCTCACCCGCTCCAGCTACAACAAGCCAGCGGACAGACTTGGGGTCATTCCCGGCGATGTAGAGACCACGTGGTGGACCTACTCACTCGGCGACGAGACACTGTTCGTGCAACTTCTCCATCACTAGACCGTGCTGACTGCCTGCAGTACCGGTGGCCTCTACTCGTCGACCAAGGACGTGGCCACCCTTGGCCGCGCCATTCTTGACAGCCGGCTACTTTCCAGCTCCCTCACTCGGCGCTGGCTAAAGCCGGCTAGTCACACATCCTCACTAGACCTGGCCGTCGGGGCTCCCTGGGAGATCTACTCGTTTCCCTCCTCACGAGTGGTCGATCTCTACGCCAAAGCCGGAGATCTGGGATCGTACTCATCCATGCTTGCTTTGTCTCCAGACCACAAGGTCGGCTTCACCATACTGATAGCCGGCACAAACACACATTGGACAGCTGCCTATCTGTCCGATCTCCTTGCAAACTCGCTTCTTCCCGCGCTCGACGAAGCGGCGAAAGAGGAGGCGATCCCAAGATTCGTGGGATCCTATTTTGCGAGGAACTCCTCATCCTCACTGACCATCAATACGGATGACGGCCCTGGACTGAAGGTCGAAACATGGTTCGATGAGGGCAATGATATGTTTAACACACTTTCATTGCTTCTGGGCGCGTCTATTACGGATCTCAGCGTGCGGCTGTATCCGACCGGACTGAAGGCACCAGGGCGGGTGCCTTTCCGGGCGGTCTTTCGGGATTTGAGTTTGGGAGTCGATGGGATTGGTCCCTTCAGTCGAGCATGCCCGACCCTGGTTCCTTGTGGACGCTTTTGTGTATGGGGCCGTTGGGCTCGATGAGTTTGTGTTTGATGTGGACAAACAGGGAAAGGCCGTCGCAGTCGAGGCGAGGGGGGTGAGGATGATCTTGATAAAAGGTAGAACTGGCTATGACGCCTCACATTAGTACATGGTACCTCGAAGAGGAAGCTGCCAGTCCACGTGTCTGCCGTCGAGACGCAATATATGCAGGAGAACAATACTTCGACATGTCCGTTATCGCTTATCAAAAGGAAGAGAGATTGGGTCTGCCAAGGTACTAGCCGCCCGAGTCACCGGGGATTATCCGGGGTTGTACCACTGTGCGGTGGTTGAGAGAAATGTCATCATGTTGACTATTGCTGGGAAAACTGGTGATAGTAAGCGATGGATGTGGATTCTATAGTGCCGGTTAGGTGTTTAGTTCAAAGTCAATCCATGGTTCTGAGTGAACTGACTCACGGACTCGGGCCAGGTGCCAGAACCATTCCCCAATCACGTCACGTCAGGCATCTAGACTTGGTCCAAGGAATGTCTCGCACCCCACGCACTGTGGAGGATGCGGTCATGTCGAGTCTGGGTGATGTCTACCATTCCACAACGGAATGTGAGACTGCAAGAGGGTCGTGTTGACATGTCAGGAGAAGAAGCTTCATGAGGAAGTGTTCAAGACAACGCAGTCTCATGATATGTGCAGACAAACCATGAAGTGTGAATGAAGAGGGACGAAAGGTAACTGGCGGTGAGGCCTCGAGGACGGCAGCGGGACCGTGGGAGGGAAGATTGGCTGACAGCAAGCCAATTCCAAGTGGGGGCACACTAACCACCACTTAGTTAGTCTAAGGGTCAGGTCGAGATTCCTGAATAATACTGATCAGTGATCACTCAATGCAGGGGGGAAGAAGAAGAGGGGAGGGGGGGTCTACAAAGCCCCGCAGTGGGCAAGAGAAAGAAAGAAAAAAGAACCTGCATTGGAAGGGGAAGAACAGGTTCAGTGGGTGAATTATGGAGAACTTCCCCCTCAGACTACGTAGCACTCTGTATGTAGAAGAACAATCAACAATATTCTCTCAGTATGATCAATGATGATCATCTCCCTCAAGTCTAAGGTGGTTCCTTGCCGCCGATCCATGCATCCCCCACTGGACTGCACTGCATCGAGTTAAGTACTCGAGGGAAAATTGACGCTTCAATGCAACCCTGGCGGTTAAACTGGTTTGGGTTGCCGCTTGGAATGAGTGCAGCCTGCGTTCGGGAGGGAAAAGGGAAATTGAGGAAAAAGGGCAAAATGGGGTCTAGAATAGATTAAAACCTAAGTACTACCCCCTCCCCTTCCCATCACAACAGATTCTCATTCATGCATTTCCGTTCCCGTTCTCGTTCTTGTTCTTGTTCTTTAACCTCACGCTCAGTCTTTCATTATTGTTCTATTCTCAGTCTCTCATTTACCTTCAGAGGTTCTGAGTAGTAAAGTACCAGGTACAGTACTTATCTAGGTACTTATCAAGTACACCAGTACATTCGCAGGTCAGTCTGATTGACCCTTTTGTTCTCTCTCTCTCTTCGTATTGATCGCCGGTCGACTGACTTGCCCCTCTCAGAACCTAATCGACCCTGACACCAGCTGATAACCGCCACACATACCAAACTCGAGTACATCAACCAGCTGCCAAGATGATCCCTGCTTGTTAAAGTCCCACCCCCTCCTCTTCCTCGGGGCATGTGTGTGCATCGGCTGGGCCGTCATCCTCACGATTTCAAAAAAATAAAATCACATGTCAACAGCCCCCAACTACTTTCTGATTAGGAAATCCCGCCTTCCCTTAGGACATGTCTATACCCTCACGCTCTGGCCCTGGCCCAGAGCAAACGTATATTTCACCCGGTGTGAAACTCCCAACGACTATCAAAGATTATCCGACACTGGAGGTCACCGAGATAAGCCTATCGCCGTGTATGGATGCCCCTCATGCTTTGGAGGATAGCAGCATCATCGCCGCGCCCAAAAGAAGACGAACCCCGTCGCCATCGTCCCCTGCAGCAACAACCACAAGTACCAAGACCACAAGCTCATCGTCGTCTTCTTCTTCTTCTTCTTCGACATCCCGTCATCGCAAGAGCAGTCTCCACAGCCGCCACAGCAGCTCCCATTACTCGCAGCACCGTCGCACCGCCACCGCGGTCTCCATCACCCCTATCACCGACCAAACCACCCGCAGAGAGGATCTTCTAGCCCTGCATCGTGAATCCTGTCGACTGTTCCAACAGCAGCAGCAACAACATAAACAACAACAACAACAACAACAACAACAACAACAACAACAACAACAACAACAACAACAACAACAACAACAACAACAACAACAACAACAACAACAACAACATAAACAACAAACGACACCCCCTTTAACCCCGCGCAATCAGCGCTCCCCCAGCACCAGCTCCAACGTGACAACCACCAGCAACACCAACACCAACGCAAGGAGCAGCGGCGGGGGCGGCGGTGATTACTCGCCGATCTCAATCCACGAAGTGCTCAAGACCCCCGTCCGCGCATCCACCCTCCCGGTATGGGACTATACCGATGAAGTCTCGACGACGACGACGACGACGACCCCCAGAACAACCGTGACCGTGATCGACTGGACCTCGCCGTCCACACGCCGGCGGGAGTACGAGAAGATCGACAAGGCGAGCAGCGGGATGCGGGGGTTCTGGCGGCGAGTGGCGCCGAAATGGTGTCAGTCGCGGGCTCGTCGGATGCCATTTTTCGAGGAAAAGGACGGGAAGGGGAATTACGAGGGGAGTGTGCGACGGTTCCGAATGGATATTCCGGAGTGATTGATTCCATCAAGTCTTTTTTTTTTCTTTTTTTTGCCGATGTTTTGATACCCATAGATTGTCAATCGTTACTTTTTGCTTGGTTTATGCAAATCTTACATCACCTGAACTGCAGTACTGTAGCAACCTGTCTTGGGATTATGTTTATACAGATAAGACTGACAGCATCAATCACACCCAAACTTTTTATACTAAAAACAAAAAAAAACGCCAGAACACCATTCTTTCTCACGGGTATCATCACATCATCACAACAAATCGAAATCATCCACCTTATTCCTGTAGTTCATGATCGTCCGCTTGATCTTGCTGCTATCGACCCAGGTCACAAAGTCCTCCATATTGCGGGTGATCAGGTAGGCGGGGTCGGTGACGACCTCCGTTCCGACCCGAACGTGGCCTTGTTCGATGAATGTGTTTGCCTGCAACGCAGAAATTAGCACCAGCCTTATCCCCCTATCCCACGACCCCCGGGGGAAAAGAAAAAACCTACAGCAACAACATTCTCCACCATCCCAGACCTGGCCATGAACACGCCCAGCCGCCGCCGACAGAACGCCGACACCGTCACCTCGCGCTCGACCCGCGACAGCCCGGCCCCCTGCTCGCGGCTCTGCTTCAGAATGCCCATCCGCCACAGCTTGTCCAGCATGTTGGCCTCGAGCTTGCGGCGCACGGGGTCCGCGGGGTCCAGCTCGCTCAGCTTGTGCGCCAGCTGCCGCAGCGAGCCGCACAGGTTGTTGTACTTGCGGTAGTCGAGCGGGTCCTGCAGATGGTAGCGCGTGCGGATCGTCGACTCGCGGTGGTTGTTGTCCGACTTGTACGTGTGGAAGTCGACCTTGCGGAGGAGTTTTTTCTCGTGGTGCTTGAGGGCGCGGACCATGATTTCGTTCTGTGGGGTTTTTCTCGGGGGAGGGGGAGGTCGTAAAGGTGTCTTCTTGGGAAGGCGAGGAGGCAGGTGAAGGTGTAGGTGTAGGTATAGGTATACGTTGTTTGGTATTAGTTTAGTTAATGATGGTGGTGATGGGTTTCTGCGTGATGAGGAGAAAATTTGGGATGAGCGGTGGGGATATTGCCGGTTCAATCTGGGGGGAGAGGGCTTGGCGGTGTGTTGGCGGTAAGACGGGGTCTTGCTCCAACTATACGGGGCATCTCAATGTCAATTCTTCTATTTCTTCTCTTTTGTATCGAAGACATGATTGGATCTCTCACATCTTATGATCATCGACTCTTCAGTAGTGGTTAGACATATTCATTTTCATCAAGTCGACTTCTACACTGTGACATGGCCCCCCTCTACATCTACGGGGACACTATCAGCTTAACCATCACTGCTTCATTGGATTTCATCCATAACTCAATTAAACAACTAGACCCAAACAGTTGTGTGACCTGAACATCTATGTACGCCTCGGATGCATCATACAGCGACTATACACCGCATCAAAATTACACTGCACCCTAAACTCCCGGAATAATAGTCCTCAACCCCATGGCAAACCGCTTAATCTGCGCCGCATAGTAATTCTGAGAGCAAGTCGTCAGCACACTTCTCCCAAATTGTTCTTCCGGATAACATCAAACCTACCGATTCCAACCCCGCGCCAACGCCCTTGAACGGCAACAAGCGCACCAGCGCCGGCACCGGCACGCGCCCCAGCACTAACCGGGCCTTCTCCTCCTCCAGCCCCTCGTCCAGGAACAACCTGGGCAGGTCCGGATCGATGGCCGCAGGACGCCCGAGCCCGATGATATCGCAGACATTCTGCTGGACCGCCGCCTCGGCACCGGCGCGGGTCCGGAACCCACCGGTCAGCATCAGTACCAGATCGGGGAACCGTTGGCGGGTTTCGCGGGCGAAGTCGAGGAAGAACGCCTCACGGGCGAGGGTGCGTTCGCTCTTGGGGGTGGCAGCAGCAGCGTCGAGGCCCATCATCTGCCCTCGCTTGTTAGTACGGTTCTCCGCGGAGGTGGAAACCTGGGGAGGTGGAAAACCGGGGAAAGGCCAGGCGCATTGAGAAAGACTGTGGAGGGGGGGGGGGTAAGACTCACCTCAGGATTCTCATAGCTTCCCCCGCTGATTTCCAAAAAGTCCACCCCGGCCTCAACCAGCAACTGGATCTGCATCATCGTCTCCTCGAAGGTACTCGAGCTGTGATCCGCCGAGTTCAGCTTGATGCCCACGGCGAACTCGCGCGGCACCACCTCGCGAACCGCCCGGATGATGTCCAGCACGAATTTCGCGCGCTTCTCGGCGCTACCTCCGTACGCATCGGTGCGTTTGTTCGTCTGGAGAAGTCAGCTCAAACTTCATGAACACCTCGAATGACTCCTTCCCCGGTATTCAGGGGGAGGATTTTCAGGGGGAGGAGGGGAACAACCAACCTTCGCATTCAAGAATTGATCTGAAATCAAACCAGTCAGCAATCCCACTCACCAGACCAGAAGGGAGAAAACAAACCAATCAAATACCCATGCGCGCCATGCAACTCAACACCGGAGAACCCACTATCGGCCATGACGCGCGCGGCGTCCACGAACTGGCGCACGACGCGGTCGATGTCCGTCTGGTCCATCGCGCGCGGCGCCGGGAACAGGAACCGGCTGATCCAGCGCGCGAGGAAGCCGTCGCCGCCCATCTGCAGGGGGATCGGGCTCGGGGCCAGGGTGGGCGCGAACACGCCGCGGCGGCCGGCGAACCGCGCCGACTGGCGGCCCGGGTGGCACAGCTGGACGATAGCCGGGGTGCCGTGGTGCTGCTGGATAGCGGCGGCGTAGGAGGCCCAGCTCGCGAGGAGGGGTTGCATGGCAGGGTCGGTCTTGTCGGTGTAGTCGCCTTGGAGGGCCGGGTCGAAGGGTTGGCCCATGTGGTTGATGTCGACTTGGACGTTGCCTGTATACGGCGTCAGAGATCAATCGTAGACGCTGTAGGGATGGAGAGTAAATCGAACCAGTAAGAATCGCCCCCCAACCGCCCTGCCCCCATCGCTCATACGCCTTCAACAAAGTCGGGGTGATCGTATTCTGCGATCCAGCCAGCGACTCGGCGAGCGCTGCCTATCCACACTCAGTCATCGTAAGCACTCCACAAAAACACAGACAGCCACAGGAACGAAAGACTCTCTAACCTTCGCCAGCCGGTTCGGCAGCACCAAGCCACACGGCAATTTCACGGGCTCACTCAAAACCGACGGCATTTTGCAGAACAGAACTGTATGCCCCGTCTAGGGTTTCAACACAAATCAACGCAAGAGGAAAGGAGAAAAGCAGCAGAAATATACGGAAGCAAAATATCCGGAACCGAGGCACACGGACGGCAGGTGGAGACACGGACTAACAAAAGCCAAGATTTGGCTTGCAGAATGCTTATGCTTATGCTTATCAAGCAGAACTGAAAATTGATTATGTGAGTAATCAATCATGCCACGAGCTGTATACCTGAAGAAGGAAAGATGACGAACCCTGGAAGATTCTTTGTGGGGGTTAGATTATGGATCCTTTGGGGCCCCGTTTCACGCCCTTCTGCACACTACCTCCCTGGCTTACCTGTACGGGTCTTGACACGAAGAGTGTATCTACTTCGTCCATATTGTCTAACTATTTTGTGAGTACTGACGATGTACTTCAGATGCTGGGCAGAATACAGTACAGTACTGTCCAACGTGTTGCAGATACAAAGAAATCCGGGCCCCATTATTTGAGTCGCCAACCCTAACCGCAACCAACGCAAAAAGTAGACGGTAGAACTCAACAGCTGCATAAAGTACAGCCTGCACGTCAGTAGTAAAGTACCTATATCCCACCCCTACAAACAGACAAAACAAACATCATACTAATCTCCCACAAGTCCAATCCACAACCCGCTTACCGAACAACGCACCCCTCAAGGCGTGAGTGAAACTGAAACCATCTCGGACAACCGGAGAACTTCCCTCCCCCCCGGAGCAGACTTAGCCGAAGGCCACCCGTCCTGTACACCGGGCCATTTCCTCCCGAGCCCAAGTCACCCAGTGACCCAGCCCAGTACGTACATATCCCGACGGTCACCCGTTCTCACCCCAGAGTCCAGACACAACTGAACTGGGAACAACGCAACAACTTCCACTTCCAGTCACCAATTCGACGGACCAATGATCCCCTCGGCATCGAGATCCCGAGGTCCACTATCCCTGAGCCGTCAGGCAGGAGCGTGGACCACGACTCCACGAGACTAACCCCGGGGAGGGTGCACCCTGCAGCCATTAGAGGAAAGTGTATTTGAAGGTGGCAGGGCTGAAAGAGCCAGAGGAGGAGGTCGTCTGGTCGGGTCTAGATGAATCTGGATTCTTTGCCACGAGACCCTACTTGGAGCTGGGGTGGCTGGCCAGGGTTGAATGAGGTCACGGGTGGATGTGCGCTGCTGCATCGCTTTTCCCCGCATCTCCATTTTCACGTGTGCAGTTAGTTGTACAGGACGTCGTGACCATGATCATGCTGCGGGGTACAACGCTGAGGCTATCACCCCCTCACACCATCAGTCAAGTGGTTTCTCCCTCAACTGAGCGAATACGATCATGAGTGACTCTACGGTGCATCACATGGAAGTCTGGAGCAAAATAACCAAGCCGAGGTTCGAGAGACGCCTGTTCTGGAATACTCATTCCGATCTTATCAAAAAATGTATGGACAGTCTGGAACATTGTGCAGTCATGAATTTTACCCAACCCGAAAACCCACTCACAGTATCTAAGCTAACCAATCCGAGTCCGAAGTCGGTAAGATCCAACACAAATTCGTCATTAAATGGGGCATGGAAGCGGTGCAAGAAGGGGGTATACAAGAAGAATGCATCCATCCAGCTGGTGGATGACATGTGAGAAAGAAAAAAAAAAAAAGAATCGCTCCAAAGTCAAGCAACCTGGTCAATCCAGGGATGCAAAAGATGAAAAAGACAAACATGGAAAAGCCATTTACAGCTTAGCATTCTTTTCGGCCTCCTCGCTCAGGCCAGGCAGAGACAAGGCGCTTCCACCCAGGCTGGACAGGATGGCGCCAACCTCGCGCTCCAAAGACAGGACTTCCGTGTGGGCATCGTACATATGAGCCTTGATCCAGGCATCCAGGGTGGCATTGTCCATGTTGCGCAGGGCAGTCTCGCGGTCGACCTTGGCTTCCTGGGCCGCACGGATGACGTTGCGCGCCACAACAACGCTAACCTGGCGGATGCGGGTCAAGTCGGGGTAAAGGAGACCATTGTCGATTTCCTCGGCCGTCAGAGCCTTGGAAAGAGCCTCACCCGAGGCATAGATCATGGTGTCGGTGACCCTGACCGCCTTGGAGAGGATGGTGCCCAGACCAATACCAGGGAAGACATACATGTTGTTGCCCTGGCCGGGGTAGTAGGTGCGGGTCTCACCGGCGGAGTTGGTGAAACTCATCGGCTGGAAGGGAGAGCCAGACGCAAAAAGCACCCGGCCATCGGTGTTGGTGATAGCAGTCTCGAAGTCACACTCAGACTTGGAGGAGGGGTTGGACAGAGGGAAGACAATGGGGCTCTTGTTCCAGTCGGCCATCTTGCGGAGAATCTCAGGGGTGAAGACACCGCCCATGGTGGAAAGACCCATCAAGATAGTGGGCTTCACGTGGTCAACAACCTGCTCAAGGGTCTTCAGCTGCAGACCGTCGTTGTCGGTCCGAGCAAAGTAGACCTTGTGGTCAGCGAGCTTGTCGCCGCGATCAGCAGTCACGAGACCCTTGGTGTCAACCAGGTAAAAGCATGCGCGGGCCTCATCTTCAGTCATGCCCTCACGGACGAAGAAGTCGACGATCTGCTTGGCAACACCGACACCAGCACTGCCAGCACCGAAGAAGACAGCACGGTGTTCCTTGCAGGGAAGGCCGGAG